CGCCTTCCAGACACAGGTCAACTGTGGTGGACACATGACCCTGCAGGAGGCACCCTCGGTGTAGCTAAGACGAATCCTAGGACACCGCACCCACCGTCCAAGTAAACTCCTGCCTGGAGGCAGGACGGAAGGGGTGGGGGCACCGCTGGGGCAGCAGGGAACATCTCAGCTTTGTAGCCGGGATGCCTCACGCCTGTTCCCGGCTCAGGTTCACCGACTCCTGTGTGACTTTGGGCGGGTCGCTGCCCCTCTCCGGGCCCCGGTTTCCCCTTCCATAAAGCAAAGGTCCTGGGTTAGAGGATGCCCAGCGGCCCTTTCAGCTGCGACCCCACCAGAAGCCCGTTCCCCTGCTCCTCCATCCCGCTCAGAAGCTGGGTCTCCCAGCCTCCCCGGGAGGGCCAGCTGGCCACACCTGGGGCCGGGCTGCCGGGGTGGGCCCGCCACAGCCCCCTCAGACCTGGCCGGCTCCCCCACCACCTCCAACCTGCCCCGCCCCGCTTCCTCTCCCACCTCCCAGTGACCCCGCCCCGCCAAGTTCATTGGCCCCCAGCCCCTACCCTTGCAGGAAAAGCAGAGAAGGGGGCCCGGGGTCCTGGAGCCTCCTCTGCCCCACCCCCACCCTACCCAGCACAGCTGTCTGCCCGCACCCCACCGCCCTGGGATTACCAGGCTCCCAGGGGCCCCGGAGGAAGCGGATCACATTCCTGAGGGCCTATGTCAGGCTCAGCGCTTCCCGCTCCCCTCTCCAGACCCCCCACTCACCACCAGCTCTCTAGACCCAGCCCTGCACATCCTTCTGTCCAGGAACCTCAGATGGCATGGAGCCAGCCAGGCCTGGGCACAAGTCCCACCTGCGCGCCTCCCACCTGCCTTCTCTAAGCCTGTTTTCTCACCTGGAGAGATGGGGCTTCCCTGGTGGCTCAGCCAGTATAGAATCCACCTGCAAGGCAGGAGACCCTGGTTCGATTCCTGGGTCAGGCAGATCCCCTGGAGAAGGGATAGGCTACCCACTCCAGTATTCTGGCCTGGAGAATCCCATGGACAGAGGAGCCTGGTGGGCTGCAGTCCATGGGGTCACAAAGTCAGACACGACTGAGATGACTTCACATGAAAATCAGGGGTTCTATTACTTTTTCCCCGAAGTGTGCTGGCACTGTTTCCTTACCTGACAGGCTGAGTTAATAAACTGCAGTCCCCTCTGTCACCGTCACCCCCATCACTTCACCACCGTCAACTACACCTGCAGCAGGAAAGGCACCAGCATTACTGTCTTCATCACCTTCGTTACAAATGCACCGTTGTTGTCCTCAGCAATGGCAACAGCCCAGAGGCTGTCACCACGACACTGCTGTCTCCGTGACTTCCCTCCACACGTTTGCCCAAAGCCTCACATGGGCCAAGCTCTGTGCCAGGAGTTTTCCCTGCACGCCCTCATTCAACCATCGTAACAACCCTAGTCCCAGCTCTACACCTGGGGGTAGATACTCTTGTACTCATTCTGTTGTTGCGGTTATTCAGTTGCTCACTTGTGTCCAGCTCTTTGCGACCTCATGGACTGCAACATGCCAGGCTTCCCTGTCCTTCGTTATCTCCCAGAGTTTCCTCAGACTAATGTCCATTGAGTCGGTGATGCCATCCAATCATCTCATCCTCTCTTACCCCTTTCTCCTCCTGCCCGCAGTCTTTCCCAGCATCAGGGTCTTTTCCAATGAGTCAGCTCCTCACCTCAAGTAGCCAAAATATTGAAGCTTCAGCTTCACCATCTGTCCTTCCAATGAATATTCAGAGTTGATTTCCTTTAGGATTGACTGGTTTGATCTCCTTGCTGTCAAGGGACTCTCAAGAGTCCTCTCCAACACCATAATTCAAAAGCATCGATTCTTTGGTGCTCTGCCTTCCTTGTGGTCCAGCTCTCAACATCTTTACATGACTACTGGTAAACCATGGCTTTGACTATATGGACGTTTGTCCACAAGGTGAAGTCTCGGCTTTTAAATATGCTGTCTAGGTTTGTACCCATTTTACAGATGAGGAAACTGAAACTCTGAAGAGTTTCTTGAATCTCTGAAGTAATAGAAACAGGAGGAAACCAGGCTTGTCTGACTCCAAAGTCTATCTTCTTAAACATGCTTTATACCATCACCCCCAGATCACAGCAAAACTGCCCTTGTTTTTCACAGCCTAGAAAAGTAACCAGCATCAGCATCAGTCTAACCCTTACTGCCAGGCCAGCGCCATCACTGCCGAGACCTATTGCCATTCACCTCCGTCACCGCCCCAATCGTCATCACCACCCCCATCATCACTTTTAGAATCAGCTCAATGGACATCAGCCTAAGACAGAGGAGCAGGCCTGGACCCTGGCCTCAAGGAACCACGTCCACTCCCATCATCAGGATCTCTTCTTCCTGCCCCAACATTGCCATCTCATCATATGAAGGATGACCTGGGGAGGAGCATTTTTACCACGATCACAGAAGAAAATTTTTCATGACCAGAAATTCAGGCCTTTGTTTGACTGCATTCCATCAGCATTCGTTCAGCCATTCACACAGTTCAATCCGCATCTACTGAGCACCATCACGTGAGACAGAGGGATACAGAGGCAAACAAAGCCGAGGCGAGGCCCCCTCAAATGGAGCTTGGAGGACAGACATCAATAAATCATCACAGGAGGGATGAAGCACCAAAGACGTGGGCTGAGTATAAAAATGGGTGGGGGGAAAATAAATAAAAAGGAGTGGAATGGAATAACATAACCTAGGCCGGGAAATCCAAGAGGGATTCCTGAAAGAAGCAACAGTTAGGCTGAGACCTGAATGCCAAGTTGGAGTGAACTGGGTAAAAAGGACAGATTGTGGGGGAGCTGCTGGGAAGGCGTTCTGGTGAAGGACTTAGCATGTGCAAAGGTCCGGAGGTGGGATGGCACCTCCTCCTAGAGGAATTGAAGGGAACCCAGTGTGGATGGTGCAGGATGACCCAGAGGGAGGTGGAGGTGACCGGAAATTGAGGCAGCCCTCTTGCCTCCTGGGGACTAGGAGGAAGGTGGGGTAAGGAGCAGGGGGTGGTTCTTTCTAGAATTTGGAAAGCAAATACCCAGTCCCAGAAGAGAGGGTGTGGGCAACCCAGTGTGAGGCCCAGAGGACACAGCCCAAAGGACTGATGGGAACTGATGAAGGGCTGTGGATGGTGCTTGGTGATTATCTCAGGGAGAATTGATTGCTCGGGCCGGTGCCTGCCTGGCGCAGAGACACAGACACCCGAATATCAGGCCTGTGACTTGAAAGCTTCACCCGGCCACCAGTGAGTGAGCAGAGCCCGCGGGTGCAAAGCCGGGACGCCCCAATCAGAGCAGGGCACCTCAGGAGATGCTGGCATGAGGAAAGGAGTGGCTGTGCTTACCTGGGCTCCTCTGCACGGAGACGGCCCAGCTCCCAGAGACGCAGCGGGCAGGCAGGGAGGGAGGCTGGGCCTTAGGTGAAAGATGCTCTGCAGACTCATCTTAAACTTGCAAGTCAGAAAGGAAGGGCTCCGGAGACTGCCGAAGACGCGCTCCCGGGCACAGGAGGGTGGCAGAGGGGGCTGGTGAGAGAGGGCAGCAGAGGATGAGCCCGAGGTGCGGGGGCCGGGGGCCTTGTGCCAAGTGACACCCTCCTGGCCATTCCCCTGCCCCGGGGGCCACCTCTCTGCAGAACTAGCCGGGTGCCCGTCCCCCCCACCCCCAGAGCACTGTGGGCCAACTGGGGCACCTCAAAACCACAGTTTCCAAGTATCTACTCTGTCATGCGCCTTCCCACATCTCATCTGGATTTCTGGCTATCCCTTCAAGGTGGGTCTGAAGCTACAGGTGAAGAAACCGCAGTTCAGAGAGTTAAGGGGCCCAGGCTGGGCATTTGGGTGACTAAGTAATCAGCACCGTGGCAACAGCAAATGCCAACGCACCTCTGAAGGCCACCTGCCTGACCCTGGGCCGAGCCCTGGGCGCGCTCCCTCTTGTCTAATCCTCAGTCCTGTCTGATGCTCTAAGAAGCTTCATCGGCCCCATTTGTAGACAGGGAAACTGAGGCTCTCAGAGAAGTAACTTGGCCAAAGTCATCCTGCCAACAAGAAACAAGCTGAGATCTGAACCCTGTGTCTGCACCCAGAGACCTTACTCTCAAGAGTGGTGAAGAAAACATTTCTCCCTTCATTTCTATCAGGTTTTTTTTTCCTCCATGCAATTTTCAGTTGTCTTACTAGGCACATTGTTATGTCTTTCTAATAGAGTTCCCTGTTTATCATCATAAATGTCCTTTAACCCTAGTGACAGTTATTAATGAAAATCATTTTGAGTTGATATTAGTACAGTACAGCCAACTCTCCCTTTGGCTGATGTTGCCATGATATATATTTTTCAGTCATTTCACTTAAAATCTATTTTCTGACACAGCGGTGTAGCTCCCAGGCAACATTCTCTGCGTTGTGCCTGGACCAGCTTTTGGAAAAACATTTCTTTCCTTAATTTCACTTGCTTATTTTGTCTGTGCCGGGTCTTGGTCGCTGGGCCGGCTTTCTCTAGCCGCGGTATGCGGGCTTCCCCTGCGGGAGCTCCTCTAGTTGTGACGCCTGGGCTCCAGAGCACAGGCTCAGCAGTCGCGGCTCCCAGGCTCAGGTGCCCTGCAGCACGTGGAATCCGCCTGCATAGGCAGGCTGATGATCGTTAACCACTGGACCACCCGGGAAGACCTGGGCCAGCCTTAAAGGGCAAGTCAGCTCGGGGCCAGCCTGCTTAACCCTCTCTGTGGCTTCCCGGTGGTTCTGAGAATAAAACCCCGAGTGCTCGCCGTGGCCTGCCGGTCCCTGCTCTGACCTCCGGCCACCATCCCGACAGCCCTGGCTCAGTCCCAGGACCGGCCCCTGGAGACACCCTCCCTGCCCGTCACGTCACCAGTCCCACTCTTCCTGGCACGCCCTTGGCCTGAATGGGTCTCACTCAGGCTGCTTTTCCTTTCCTGTCTTACGGAGCTTGGCTCTCATGAGCGCAGGGACCACGTCTACCCTGCTGCGTCTCCGGCATCTAGAACCACATGAGGCACACAGCAGGGGCTCAAGAAACATCTGCGGAACGAGTGGGGGTGGGCGGCGCCAGCACGGCTTCTTGCACCAAGGCAGGGCCAGCATGCAGGGAAACCGAGGATCCCAGCGGCTGACTCCTCGCTGCAGGCAGAGGCCACACTTGCCCCAGAGGCAGGAATTTCTCGCTGCCCTGAGCTGCCTCCTTTGACAACAGGAGTCCATGACCCCTTTCCCTTATCCCATCCTCGACCTCGAATCTGCCCCCTGGTCCCATCCCAGGCTCAGGGCCTGACACCCACCAGCATTGCAGCCCACCAGCCAGGCCTGCCTGGAGCAGAGGAGGCTTAGTGACGAGTCTTAGGACTGGACTTTGGCTCAAGACTCAGCTCTACCAGCCCTCTCTGTTTGACGGCAGTCAACTTTCTCTACCTCCCTGATCCTCAGTTACCTCATCTGTAAAAGGGGAACATTGGGAGGATGTTGGCGTTGACAGTTGCATGGCATCACCGACTCAGTGGACAGGAGCCTGAGCAAACTCCAAGTGAAGGACAGGGAAGCCTGGCGTGCTGCAGTCCATGGGGTCGCAAAGAGCCCGACACGACTGAGCGACCAAACAGCCAGGAGGATGTTAGGTGAGAGCGTGTCGTGTGAAGGGCCCTGAGTCAGCGTATGTGAACGTGGCCCATTCATACCCATAATTCCATGCACATAATGGAATTATGTGACATTATTATGGTGACAGCCCCACCTCCTCCTATCTCGAGAACCCCTGGGTCACTCTTTGCCAGGCCAGGGTCTCTGGCACGAACAAAGAGGTTAACTAGTTTTTGCAGCCTGTCTGTCCATAGCCTCACTATTCCTCAGACCACTTACCTCCTTCTGCTCCTCATCCATCAGCCCAGCCCAGAGGTTGCCTGGAGTTCGTGATTCCCCCAAGCACACACACACCACCAAACACGTGTGCAGAGACCCCTGTGTGGGCAGCCGCGCACACACACATCTCCCCACACACAGCTAAATAGTTGTGCCCGGGCGCTCGGGGTGACAAGTGCTCATGCACACGTGTGCACCTGTCCCACATGCTGTCCCTCTCACGTGTGCACACGCAGACACACGGGCCACAGACACACGCGCCTGCACTCACGCTGACCACGGGAACCGCCCAAGCACCCCCTTCCATAAGCCTCCGCCTCCTCCCCCGCCCGGCTGGACCCCACCCCCTGCGCTCTGCGCAAGCGCACACACAGTCGGTGGGACCAGCCCAGGGATGTGGCACCAGGCAGGCAGAGGTGATCACACCAGTCCATCCTAAAGGAAATCAACCCTGAATATTCACGGGGAGGACTGATGCTGACGATGAAGCTCCAATACTTTGGCCACCTGATGCAAAGAGCTGACTCTTTGGAAAAGACGCTGATGCTGGGAAAGATTGACGACGGGAGGAGAAGGGGACAACAGAGGATGAGATGGTTGGATGGCATCACCGACTCAACGGACGTGAGTTTGAGTAAACTCTGGGAGTTGGTGATGGACAGGGAGGCCTGGCGCACTGTAGCCCACGGGGTCACAAAGAGTCGGACACGACTGAGCGACTGAACAATGACAGACAGAGGGGAACAACCTCTGTGTGTCCTGTGTGTGAGTCTGCCCTTCCCCAGGGCAAGTGGTGGGCGACGGAGAGTGAGCCGGAGAGTCTGGTCTCCCCGGAGAGGGGACCCCAGGCTCCCGATGCCCTGCAGGCCCTGGAGCCGGGAGCCCAGGAGACGCCGGCTCTCCGCTTGCCCAGGAACGGGGTCAACAGCACCATCTGCTGCCGGCTTCTGGAACTGCCCTTCAGAGAGCGCGCCTGGCCCTGAGCGGACTCGCTGGAGCGCGCCTGGCCCTCAGCGGACTCGCTGGAGCGCGCCTGGCCCTCAGCGGACTCGCTGGAGCGCGCCTGGCCCTCAGCGGACTCGCTGGAGAGGACGAGCTGAGGCTGCAGGGACTCCTCCGTCCCACAGCCTAGAACGGGGCCCCTGTTCAGAACCTCCTGGGGAGCTCGGTGCCCAAGCTGGGGCCCCGAGACAGAGGATGACGAGATCCACCGGTCGCCCCGGGAAGAGGGGCACGGCCGTCTCTCAGAGGGAGAGTTCTTCTCAGTGATGGGAGACATGCTGAGTCCCGCCCGCGACGGGCAAGCCCATTGTACAGATCACATCGTCTCCCGCGTGGATGGACACACCCGACACCCCGAGAAAGGGGCTGCAGGGGTGGGAGAGGGGCTCCAGGCAAGAACCCGCAAAGGGGTGAGAGCTGGAGGGGGGCCGCGGGCGGGCGGGGAGGGGCCTGCTGGCCCTGGCACCACGCCCTGCTCCCGCTTGTGGTTCCTGCTGAACGGGGAGCAGAAGCAGGCTTGGAGTGCAGACGGGCGGTCCACCATTGTACAGATGGGAAGACTGAGGCCCCAGGGAGAAGGGACCCCCGAGATCTCAGGAACCAGCGGCCAGCTAGAAATTGGTCTTCTGTGCCCCATCCAGCACTCCTGCCTTCCCTGTGGTGGGCCCCTTCATTCTCTTGGGCCCAGGATTACCCTTTCTAAGGTGGAGGCTCTTTTCACGTCCCTGGAGAATATAGCTGAGTTAGGCCCTGAAAGGGTCTGCAGTCCGCCTTCCTGGGCTTCTCTGATGGCTCAAACGGAAAAGAATCCACCTGCAAAGCAGGAGACACAGGAGATGGGGTTCAATCCCTGGGTCAGAAAGATCCCCTGGAGGAGGAAATGGCGGCCCACTCCAGTATCCTTGCCTGGGAAATCCCGTGAACAGAGGAGCCTGGTGGGCTACCGTCCACGGGGTCGCAAAGAGTCAGACATGCCTGAGCATGCAAACTCACATACACACACAGGCCTCCCTCCTAGAGTGGAGGCTGATGAAAGAGGTGCGGGAGGCCTGGGCCAAGGCAGCTTCTACCAGGTTCCTGAGCCCAGTCCTAGGCCAACCCCTACCCCTGCCTCCCTCCTTTCAAGTCACGGATGTCATAGCTCTTTAGGGGCTGAGGGATCTGTAATACAGTGATCAGATCCTAGGAGCCACTGTTTATTAACAGTTTGGGGGGGGAGTTGCTTTTCGGCCACACCACCTGGCACGTGAGATCTTAGCTCCCCGACTAGGGATCAAACCTGCACCCCTGCAGTGGAAGCACGGAGACTTGACCACTGGACCACCAGGGAAGCCCCTATGATAATGAACCAGTCCTTTCTCCCTTGGCTCCTGGATCTTCATGTTGACTGAGCCTAAAGAGAGTGAAAGTGTTGGTTGCTCAATCTTGTCCAACTCTCAGCGACCCCATGGTCTGTAACCCATCAGGCTCCTCTGTCCCTGGAATTCTCCAGGCCAGAATACTGGAGTGGGTAACCATTCCCTTCTCTGGGGGATCTTCCCAACCCAGGGATCAAACCCAGGTCTCCTGAATTGCAGGTGGATTCTTTATCATCTGAGCCACCAGGGAAGACACCCATTACCAGTTTACTAAGGAACTTGGGGCCATCCTCCTGCAGAAGGGATCCTTCTCATCCCATCCACAGCTGAGGAAAGCAGGCTCAGCTTGGGTGCCCTGACCGGCCCAACTTCACATCAGGCCCAAGTGACTGCCCCAGGTCTCATCCCCGAGCCAGCAGCCCCCAGCCCAAGCCCCTCTCCTGTGTCCCCACTGCCGGATGCAGGTCAGAGGAGCGTTTGCATCTCGAATCCATTCAGCAGTGTTGGTGCCCCACTGCCACACGGGTGTGAAAACACCCAGAATCTCATCAGCAAGTGTTTATCGAGCACTTACTATATGCCAAGCACCATCCCAAGTGCTGAAGCCAAAGCAGAGACTAAAACAAGTAAAAAAAAAGAACTCCCTTCTGCTGGGGAAACAGATAAATAAGGTAAGTCAGCAAAGACACATCCTGCCAGATTTCGATACAGGCTGCGCGGGAGAAACAGCACAGAGGCAAGAGGAGGAGCCGCGTGATCCTGGCGGAGGGTGTGACCAGGAACGGAAGGAGGCTCCGGGGGTGTGACTGAGGCGGGAGTGTGTGAGCGGAGACCTGAAGGAGGTGAGGGGACTGGCCCGGGGACGTGTCTTCCAGGCCAAGCGAGAAGCCCGTGCAAACGCACTGAGGTGGGCCGTGCGGGTTGCGGTGTTGGAGAAGCGACAAGGCGGCCGGCGTGACCGGGATTAGGACCAGCAGAGCGGAGCAGGAGGAATGAGTCCGGGAGGTCGGGCTGGGCCTTATGGGCCCCGGCAGGACTCGGCTTTCCTCTGCTGGGATGGGAGCTGTTTCGAGCAAGGAAGTGGCAAGACCTGAGGCAGGCTTGGAAGGGCACTTTGGACACTGTGTAATCAACTATAGGAGCAGCACGGGCAGAAGGTGGGAGACCCGAGAGGGGCGTCCCCAGAACCCAGGGGCGGGTCAGGCTGGACGAGCTCTTCTTCGTGGTCCATTTTGAAGATGAACACACCCACGCAGCTGTGAGTGAACCCGCCCTTGGCCGTAAAGGAACCGGCTCCACCAGATCCTTCACTCTCGCTCCTCTGACCCAAGTGATGGAACTCCGCACGGGGTGGAGGGTCAACCAGGCCTGCCCGGGCAGGGTCACTAAGGCAGCCCCATGCAGAAGGCCTGCTTCCCCACGGCCCCAGAGGAAGTCCTGGTGCCTCTGGAAGAGACAGCTGAGACGCTCAGCTCCTGCCCAGCCCCCTGTTACGCGAGAGGGGAAACTGAGGCTCGGGGCAGCAAAGGGGCTCGTTGCTGCCGGTCAGGATTCAGAGCTGGGGCCCGGTTCCCCGAGCCCCCGTCCAGGGCTCACCCGCCCAAGGCCCAGCCCCTAAGGACTGCGGTGACAGAGGCCCAGGGCCGCGTCAGACCCACCCACCCTTCTCTGGAGAAGGGGGTGGAGGGCACGGGACCGAAGAGAGACACAGCTTCGTCTGCCAGACTCCATCCCCGCCTGATTCTGTCCTGGGCTGCTGCAGTCTAGTCAGAATCCGAACGGACCCCCAGTGACCCGGATCTGACGGAG